ACTGAAACTTTTTACAATTTTTTTTCCCCATGAGTTGGACTAGGCTTTTGCTCTTCAGATGTTTGTCATTTCGAGGTAGATTTAGGTACATGAATGTATAATAAGGATACGACTTGGGATGGAGAGGCTCACAGAAAAAATGACATCTGAGCTGGTTTTGAACCAAAGACAGAGGTTTGAGAAGAGAAGAAGATGGGAAAGTCAATCTAAGTAGAGGTACCAGCTGAAACAGAGGCTTGGGGATATGAAAGAGCATCATCAGTTTGGGAGAGTAAGATAAATGAGGCAAGGACAGAGTGGGGGGTGTTAGGAGATGAGCACAGAGAGTGGTCATAATAATGAAAATGACCAAGTTGGAACCAGGTTAAGTGTCCTGAGAGCCACGGTAGGGAGTGAAAATGGGATTTTAGGCCACAGGGAGATATTGAACCATTTCAACAAAGGAGTGGAATGGGAAATTTTACATGCTAGAAAGATACCTTTTGTAGCACAAACCTCCTAGCTTATCTGCCCGTCTGAATCGAAATATTTCTGATGCTCTGTCTTTATCTCTGTAGATAAGCATTTGAAACACATAATTATTTTTTTCATTCTGAGAAGTTTCTGATTGGGGTTTATGACCCACTGGGTGTTTCCAGCATCATTTTTCTTTTAAGGATGATGTTGAAGATTAGTTTTCTTTCTGAAACATCTTTCCTTTCTGGATTATCAGCCCATGCCCTAATTTGGAGTCTTGGATGTAGAGTGAGGATAAGGTTTTGCTTTTTCATGAGTAGTTGTGCTGGAAAACAGCAGTGTGAGTATTTGGAATGTACAGGCGGGATCATTTATTGAGTGGGGAATTAAAAAACTCTGTTCCCTCTCTTTTATTCACTGCACATAGCAGATAGCCCAGATAGAATCCCTTTGCAATTAGTGATAAGATACTTGAATGGTCCTTTTTAACTGGTCATCCTTATTTCTCATGTTGTTCCTAGACCCTGGTTTCATTGCAGTAGCTGCCTTTTTTTTCCCCACGAGTTTCCTCATCTTCAAGAAGCAGCAGAGTTTCACAGCTTCCTCAGACACTGGTGTGGGAGGGAAAGGGTGAAAGTTACTTCTCTCTTCCCTGAGGGTGGCGGGGTAGCTGCAGCCTTGAGTCTTGGAAATACTACCCTACCTCCGCCCTCTGCTGAGACCCACAGCTGTGTGAGCTTTGAGTAGTAGCCTCCTCCCAAGAAATATTGTGGTTTTATGAAGTAATAGATGATTAAAAAAGAAAAAAAATAACTGTTCTCTTTGGTTACTTTCAAGCTGGGGGATTGCTTAGCTTGAAATATTGTTGTTGGAATGTAGAAGCCTTTTGTGCCAAGTCATACACCCCAAATCACTACTCATTCCTTTTTTTTTTTCTTGAAAAGACTAGCTTTTGTTAGTTGCTTGGTGACTGGAGGATAGAAAGACTTATTCTTGCTCCTAGTTTGAATTGTATTATGCCATCACCTAGTGAGATTCAGCCGAAGTGGTGTGTGTTGAGGGCCTGCCCTGTGTTCTCTCTAACCCTCTACCATTTGTGTGTGGCAAGTGGGGAGGGCCACAGAAGTTGTGAGTTGCCCAGAATTCAAATGAAACCGCTGAAATTTTTGAAATTGTGTACCAAAATGTGCCTGGAAGACTTGTGTTTGTCTTTTCATGTGTAAAGAGTGGCAGAGCTTTCATCATGACATTTCCAAAGAGCCCAGATGCACTCTGCTGATTGGACTGTAAGCTACAGGGTGGTAACTGTGGCATAGTGGAAGGAAAGAATACTCACTTTAGAGCTACAGTCCCTGTGACTTTGGGCTAAGCCCTTGTGGCCTGACCCTCAGTTCTTTCATTCTTACTGCGAGTATTGCATATTACCTACACATCTCTGAACCACCCTGGGAATCAAATGAGTTGAGACACATGGGAATACTACTGTAAATTGTGGAGGAATTTAGGGGACGATCACTGTGTCCTGATGCAGGCTCAATGGTTACAAGAACAGAATTAAGTCAGTAAGATTGATGGCCTTGGCTGGGACTGTGCCATCTAGGAGAAGGAGGGATTGAGAGATCTTCCCACAGAACTGGACTAAAAATCCATCTACAGGGGCTAATATGCTCTTGGTCAATCTAGCATTTGATGACAAAGCACTTGTGAATCATGTAGTACAATATAATAACTGCATGGGGTCCCCACAGAAGCCTGCTGGCATCTCAGAATAAGGGATCAGGCTTCTAGAGACAGTCTCTCTCATCCAAACTCTTTCTTTTATTTATTTATTTATTTTGAGTTGGAGTCTCACTCTGTCGCACAGACTGGAGTGTAGTGGCCACTCCTGGCCACTGCAGCCTGGACCTGCTGGGCTCCGGCGATCCCTCCGCCTCCACCTTCCAAGTAGCTGGAACTACAGGCACGCGCTACTACACCCAGCTAGTTTTTGGATTTATTGTAGAGATGAGGTCTCGCCAAGTTGCCCAGGTGGCTCTCGAACCCGCGGGCTCAGGCAATCCACTCACCTCAGCCTCCCAAGGCACGGAATTACAAGCTGAGCCACCGAGTCCAGCTAAACTCTCTTTTTTTAATGACTCATCTCCAGACTTTGTTTTTGAAGAGGACGCAGGGAATACTGCTAGTTTCCCTTCTGAGACAACGTGCATACTTAAGGATACCTTATACTTGTAACAACATATTGTTTCTGGTTCCTCATCCCATAGATCGGTTGCCTTTTGCCAGGTCTTTATGACTGTAAACAAGATCTAACAGAAGCGGTTTTTTCTGAGTGTAGGAAGATTGTTGAGCTTTGGCTTGAAGTACTGATTGTTGCTGCAGTGGTTTGGCAGTTCATATCTGGTGACTGGCCTTGGATTCTGGAACCCTTAGGAGGAGGCTGCCTTTTCTCTTTCTCCCTGACCGCTGATCGCTGAAACCACAAAACACATGGAGATAAAATTTGGGGACCACCAAAAAGGAATACTGTGAGTTTACTCACATAATTTCAAAGGCTACCATTTTCTGACTTGTTAGACAGATACTAACTGTGACTTGTTAAAGATACTACTAGAGATGTTACTAGCTATATTAGGCACATACTGTAAATTTTGCTTTTTTAACTTTATGATGTATGGGCACTCAAAGAGAAGTTTAGGACAGGTCCCTTTCTAGATATAAGGTGTCACCTAAATACTTAGGCATTGTAACAAACAACCATAGCAGTAACAACAGAGAATGGTCTTAATAGTTTGCCTTTTGCATCTGAACACTTTTGGTGGTGTTGTTTTAACAGGACCCTGTAACTGGGGTAGTACTCAGTTTATCTGCTCTACGTAGATGTCTGTGTTCATATAGTAATGCTAGGGAAGCACTGTGTAGGAAGAACTCACAGAATTCTGATAGAGGCCAATTGTATGACTGCAAAATAAATATAATAGCACCTAGGACTTTGTGTCTTAAGGAGCTGATCCATGTGGAAGCCTTTTGTAAATTTTGAAGTGCTCTTCACGTAAGAGGAAGTGGACAGTGGAGCTGAGCGTTTTGCCTTGTAATTCAACACATGCCTAATGAGTGACTACTACTGTGTGTTATCCTGTAGCAGGTGCTGAAATATGGCTCTTTTGGAACTTCTACATTGTTGCCCTTAGGTTCCCAAAGATACTCTTATGCTTACGACAAATTCCTTTTTCTCGTAGCTTCTTGGAGAGGGATAATTGAAACCAGGATGCGGAAAGTTGCCCAGATGATAGGAAACCTTTCTTGCTAGTGCTTCTATCTTTTTTACTCTTCTTTTTATGAAGTTCTACTTCTCCAGGTGCTTGGCAGGAAATGGCTTCTTCACATTCCCCAAGTTTATCTCACCTCCAGTTCCTTTCATAGGCAGAAGTAAAATGGCTTCTTTCAGATCCTCATTCTAAATTCCTAAGAGAAGAAATCTAGTTGGTGCAGCTAAGTCACATATCCATACCTGGTCTGCTCAGGTGCTTATAGTAAGGGGTCTAGAGTCATGTAGTTTCTGCTTGGCAGCTGGTCTGCTCAGGTGCTTATACCCGGTCTGCTCAGGTGCTTATAGTAAGGGGTCTTGAGTCAGGTAGTTTCTGCTTGGCAGGTTTGGGCAGGGAAGAGGAAAGAATGATCAGATGTCATGGTGAACCTGACTGACAAGATCCTTGACCTCACAGAGCTTATAGTCTAACAGGAAAGACATTATTATATACATAAATGTGGGGGTGATATGGGTTTTATGACAACCAGATAGGTTGTATGAGTTCCTAGAAACCCTCCCCAAGAAATTGTGGTTAGAGTTAACCAAGCAGACAGAGAACTTTGGATCCTGGGAGGGAACAGAGTGGTAGGTGAGGAATGAATGTTTTGGACAGAGGAAGTATAGGAAAGAAAAAGCCCAGTAGCAAGAAAAAAAAAATCTAGCCATTTGGCAATGTAAAAAATAAATATTTAAAAATTTTACAATGGCTTGATTATGTGGCTGTTCTCTTTGGATTAGGCTGGAAGTTTTTTGAGGGCAGAGACCGTCTTTTTTTAATTCAATTTAATTTTATTGCCTTTGGAACCAGTTGGTATGTGGAGAATTTTACATAGTAGGGCACATTTAGTTTCACTGGGTAATTTCCTAATGCAGTGTCTTCCCAGCTACCTGCTGTGCAGTGTTGAAATCTTATCATATGTATTGAAGCATATCCTCTTGCTATTCACTGGGAAGACAGAGTGCATGCCCTTACAGAGTGTGCTTTCTGTCCCTCCAGGTTGTTCAAGAGGAATTAAAGGGAAACTATGTTCATTTTTGGAAGGATCAATAATCTCCAGTTTTTATTTCCTATATAGGTATTGCTTTTATATCACCCCCATCCTGCCAAACCCTTGAACAGATGTTTTAATCGGCATTGTTGGCTGTGCTTTTGTATAGAAAATTTTGGAACACTATTGAAAGAGGAGAGGGGTAGAAAAGCCCCATAATTGATTCTAATATATATTTAATTTGGCAGAACTTGAGAGAGACTTGCTGGGATAAAGCAGGACACTTCTTTGATCTCCCAGACTTCTTATCATGGAAGGCAACAGGTGTCACAGCACGGTATGTTAATTACAAGTTGGATTTTATTTGGGCTCTTCCATTCTCGGGTATCTGTATATATATATTGCTTTCTTAACTCTCTTTGACTGGACATACTGTTTGTACATCTACATGTGATTTTGCTTACTTGAAACATCTGGAATCTATCTTGCACCTCCACTGCACATGCCCAAACACAGTTGTTACTAAGAGGTCTGGAATGTGCGTATCCAAGGTGAAGACCATTCATTAAAATTGGACACATTTGAAGGATACGTGAAAAATCCAGAGTGAAATGTGACTTTTTCTAAAGGTACTTTTTGCATGATGAATAAAAGGAAAAAATACACACACACACACACACACACACACACACACACACACACACACACAGACATATGTCCTCTAACAATGGGGATATATTTGAAAAAAATGCATCATTAGGCAATGTCATTATTGTGCGAACATCATAGCATACTTACACAAACCTAGATGGTTTCGCCTACTACACACCTAGGCTAGATGGTATAACCTATCACTCCTAGGCTACAAACCTGTATAGCGTGTTTACTGTACTGAATATTGTAGGTAGTTGACTCTTTTGTAATAACACTTGGCTTAAAACACAAACACATATGTCTGTGCCAAAATATTTTCTTTCTTTGTATCCTAATTCTAAAAGCTTTCCTATTTAAAATTTTTTAAAACTTCTAAGACTTTATGTTAAAAACTAAGATACAAGCACACACATTAGCCTAGCTTATAGAGGATTGGGATCAGTAAGATATAACTAAGGGCCGGGCTTGGTAGCTCAGCCAGTCATCCCAACACTTGGGAGGCCAAGGCGAATGGATATCCTGAGCTCGCAGGTTCGAGACCAGCCCAGGCAACTTGATGAAACCTCGTCTCTACAATAAATCAAAAATTAGCCAGGAGTGGTAGCGCATGCCTGTAGTTCTGGTTACTTGGAAGGCTGAGGTGGAAGGATCGCTGGAGCCCAGCAGGTTGACGCTGGGGTGGCCATGAATGTGCCACTGCAGTCTAGCCTGGGCAATAGAGTGAGATTCCAACTCAAAAAAAAATAAAGATATAACTAGGTGATAGGAATTTTTCAGCTTCATTGATATCTTATGGGGCCACTGTCATTGTTTATGTGGTTTGTCGTTGACTGGAATGCCATTATATGGTATGACTGTGTGTGTGTGTGTGTGTGTGTGTGTGTGTGTGTGTGTGTGTGTGTGTACTTGGCCCCTAAAATTAAGACAAGAGATGTGTTTTTCAAAGTGGCTATTTTAATTAAATGGGTGTGTTATTAACTTGTTTTGTTTTTATATAAATGTACCCCAATCATCCCATACTGTAGAGGTATGTTGAAGTCAACAACTATTTTTTAGTACATTATGAAAGTTAAAAATAAAGTAGGTGCTACTTTTACAAAGTACTCATTGGGTGTGAAATTGTGGTGGCTATAATTAACAGAGTGAATGTGTGTGTGGATATATATAGACAGGTTGGACATGAAATCTCTAACTATGGCAAGTCCTTTATCATCCTGACCTCAGATTTAAGGGACTGCATAAGGAAGGGGGGTCTTTTCATCTTGGAAAAGAATTAGAATTTAGATAGAACAATTCTGTGAAGAGGGGGATCATTTCCCAGAGGACAAATCTGTAGAAATTAGGGAGGCAGGGCTATTTCTTAAAGTTAGTTCATTCACAGTTGTGTGTTGGGGCAAGTCTTGCCTATTTGCCTTCTTTCATTCAGAGGAACCTAGAAATAGCAGTACCATTTCCTCTGTGCTTCTCCTGTCTATCACATTTTGTAGGTTTGGATCTTTTCTTGTAGCAAGTTGACAAGCGCGTGATAGTTCAGTAGCAGGGACTTCCAGCAGAGAGACAGCAGAGAACATGTTTCACAGGTATGCCATTCTTCATGTCAGTCCTCTCCCATCCCCCAGTCATTGACCAAAAGTCTCAGGGTAGTGGAATCCATGCGTGTATGAAAATGGCCTCTGCAAACCTCAGGTTCTCATCCATCTCTAGCAGAGAGGCCTCTGGAGGAGTGGTCTGAACTTTACCTCAGAAGGTGCTGCTAGTTTCCATTATAGTTATCACCAGTGAGGAAGGCAGTGTGTGGGTGAAGATGTAATCCTGGGCATTCCTCTTTGGTGTGACATTAATTGTCCGAAGTTATTTCTGAAATGATCTTTCTCTAGGTTTTTTCTACCCTTGTGCAGCAGTGCAACAAATGTTTTGATTTGTTTTGTAGCCAGATGGACCTATTAGTCAAAGTAATCCTAGTCATTGTGTTTACAGATAATACCCAATTGGCTTGCAGATTTTGAGGACTCAGAAATGTAACTAGTGATGGAGGAGAACCTGCTTTCCTTCTCTTTGTCTTTGGTGTTTTTCAACCCAGTATGAATATTCTACACCTCTATTTCCTGGTGTCTGATGCCATATTTAGACACCAAGGAGTGGCCTTTTTGAAGCTAGCTCTGGCTCAGGTAGAAGTAAGTGCAGTGGCATGCATACGCACCGTGGACTCCTATTATGACTCCTATCCTTGACTCTACCACACATTAGTTTTGTGGCCTGGAGCATTTATCTTCCCTTCTTTGAATCTCATGCTCCTTATCTATAGAATGGAGATCATGATACCTATCTTGCATGCTTGTCTTGAGAGTCCTATTAAAGCAATTTTTCTCAACTAGCCTGATTAATGAATCACCTGAATCATTTATTCAAAGCACATATCCCCAGGACTTCTGGTTTTCTGTCTACCGAATCAGAATCTCCATGGGAGACTTGGGGATTTGTATGTTTAACAAGTGCCCTAGGTGGCGGTATCATCAGGTAGGTTTGGACAGCATCGCCTAACAAAATACACATGAAAGCAGTGTATGATCCCATGGAGATTCTGCTTCACACCTGTGAGGGACTGGAAGTATTTTAAAGGCCTAATGAATTTGTTGAATTTAAAAGCAGAGGGCTTCTTGTTTACTTATCAGAACGTGCTTGGGACTTCTTGTGCCTGCTTATGACAACCTCAAACCTTAGGGAAGCAGAAAGTTTAATGCTCAGAAATGATTTATTGACTGTCTAGTTATCTCTGCCATTTTTTATTGGCTGCGACACTTATGACTCATTCTGTTTTCATTAGTATAAATTAACAATCCCCTTCCCTCCTACCCGCCCCATACTTCCAGTTTCCTTCTCTTTCAGAGAGCAAAAACTACAGACCATGGGCACCAGGCCCCAAGTTTCTCTTGCAAAGGTGGTTGCCCTCTCCCCTGTCCTTCTTGTCTGTTGTTTACACTATAACTTTTTTCTCCCTTCTATCTTTCAGCCTTCATATCTAGGTGTAACAAGGAACCCCTCTGAACTTTCTTGATTGTAAATGGAGATAATGAGGTCATCTACCCCTCAGGGTTATTGTAAGAATTGGGTAAGGTAACAGAAAAGCTTCTTTTCTTTTTTTTTTTTTGAGTTGGAGTCTCAATCTGTTGCCCAGACCGGAGTGCAGTGGCATACTTACCGTCACCCCAACCTCGACCTGCTGGGCTCCAGTGGTCCTTCTGCCCCAGCCTTCCAAGTAGCCGGAACTACAGGCGTGTGCTACCATGCCCGGCTAATTTTTGATTTATTATAGAGATGAGGTCTCGCCAGTTGCCCAGGCTGATCTTGAACCCTCGGGCTCAGGCAATCTACTCACCTGTCCTCCCAAAGTGCTGGGATTATAGGCTGAGTCACTGAGCCCCACTCAGAAAAGCTTCTAACACAATGCCAAGAAATGTTGAAAAGGTATTAGCTATTTTATTTCTCTATCACCTTTGTTGGGGAGTGTTTACACTAAGCATAGTGGAAAGAAGGAAATCCTTGTGGTAGACTGACCTGGGTTCATGTACTGTCTGCAAGAACCTGGAGCAGATTATTCACCTTCCTGAAACTTATTTCCTCATTGGTGAGCCTTTCAAGGTTATTGAGAGAGTTAGAGATACCCTGGATAAAACATGCAGCACATAATATTTAAACAACAAAGTGTTCTATTAATGAAAAATCTACATTGTCTGTTCCCTCCTCTAGAATAGGGGAGATGAGGGTCTAAATTTGAATATGCCAATACCAAAAAAACTTTGGGCAACAGAACACCAACTTGGCAGCCTGTGGGCCCAAGGAGAGGTTTTGGTGTTTATCTGGCTCTTACATGTGATTATTTTGGGAGGCTGTGGGAAAATGAGTGCCAAAAAGGCTAGAGGCTGTTTTTTCTTTTTTAAATTCATTTTTATTATTCCAGTAGAGTCAAGATTAACAGGCGATTGGATTTCACCTTGTCTTAAAGTTTTCAAACGCTTTTGGCAATGACACTGTATAAGCATGCTTCCTCCTGTTTCTCTCCTCTTCTGTTTTCCTCTTCTTCCCTCTTTGGTTTTGTTTTTGTTGCTTTTTAATCCCAATATTGTTCTCATCTTCCAAAATATGGCAGTTACTTTTATGTATCGGAGTCACTGAGAAAATCACCACTGGGCCCGTGATTGATTTGTAATTCAGCTCCATACTTTTTATTATATTAATGAAAATAATCATTGTTATTTTCTGGTAGTTATCATTTATTGAGTGCCTCTTCCCTTTATCTGTGCTAGACATATTAACAAATGTTAACTTCATTGGTCTTCATGACCATCCTTACAGCAGGTGATATTATTACCATTTTTTAATTCAAGAACTAAAGCAGAATGCTTTAGTAATTTGCTACATTCTTTCCATTGACTGGGTTATTGTCCAGAATTTTCGTAACATGAGAAATGGGAAGTCACAAATTTGAATAATAAAATTTTGTATAATCAAACAAAAATAGATCCACATGTATAAATCCTCCCTCTAAAGAGAGTCAAGGTGACTGGTAGTAGGTATGATAAAAGCAGTGTTAAAAGTAGAAAAAAGGCTGGGCTCAGTGGCTCAGTCTGTAATCCCGGCACATTGGGAGGTCGAGATGTGTGGATTACCTGAGCCCTCGGGTTAAGACCAGCCTGGGCAACTTGACAGACCTTATCTAGACCTTATCTCTACAATAAATAAAAAATTAGCCAGGTGTGGTAGCGCGCACCTGTAGTTCCAGCTGCTTGGAAGGCTGAGGTGGAAGGATCACCAGAGCCCATCAAGTTGATGCTGGAGAGGCCATGAGTGTGCCACTGCACTCTAGCCTGGGCAACAGAGTGAAATTCCAACTCAAAAAAATTTTTAAAAAGTAGAAAAAAGCTAGAATGCAGTGAAAATAATAAAGCAACTGAGTTGAAGGCTCTATAGCTATTACAAGATTCTTTATAATTTCTTTTTTTTTTTTTTGAGTTGGAGTCTCACTCTGTCACCCAGGCTGGAATGCAGTGGCTCACTCACGGTCACCGAAGCCTCAGCCTCCTGGGCTCAGGCAGTCCTTCAACCTTGGCCTTCCAAGTAGCTGGAACTACAGGTGCATGCCACCACACTTGGCTAAGTTTTTTGATTTATTGTAGAGACGAGGTCTCGCCAAGTTGCCCAGGCTGGTGTCAAACCCCTGGGCTCAGGTAGTCCTCTCGCCTCAGACTTCCAAAATGCTAGGATTATAAGCTTGAGCCACCATACCCGGCTCTTTATAAATTTGAATAAGTTTGTTTCCAAGCTTCCTAGTAACCAAAGATAGAGCTTGATCAAAGTTAACTGAGTGAAAAGATAAAAACCTCACCGCTGTTCAGAAGTAGAACTTTTTCTAACATTGAGGGTCTGGAGATCAATTTCTTCTAGATTATCAAGAGTAGACAATATAAATTATTTAAATATATGTCCAATTAAATTCAGTTATAATTTTAAGTAAACATTTTATTTAAAGTTAGTTTTAGATTTACAGAAAACTTATGAAGACACTTCAGAGACATTTCATATACTTGACATCCAGTGTTTCCTGTTATTAATATCTTACGTTAGTATGATATATTTGTCATAATGAATGAACCAATATTGATATATTATCATTAACTGAAATTCATACTTTGTCCAGATTTCCTTAGTTTTTACCTACTGATTTTTTTTTTACTATATTACGTTTAATCATGTCTTCTTAGGTGTTTCATGGCTGTGATGGTTTCTCAAACTTTTTTTCTTTTTGATGACCTAAACAGTTTTGAAGAGTATTAGTCATGTATTTTGTAGGATGTATATTGGAATTTATCTGATGTTTTTCTCATGATGAGTCTTGGGTAGTGTGTTTTGGGAGGAAGATCACAGGGGTAAAGTATCATTCTCATCATATCATGTCAAGGTTACATACTATCAGTATGATTTACCACTATTGATGTCAACCTGGATCACCTGGCTAAGACATTGTCAGGTTTCTCCTCTGTAAAGTTACCTTCCCCACCCAATATTGTACTCTTTGGGAGATAGTCACTATGCACAGCTCACACTGAGGAATGGGAAGTAGTGACACATTGTTTACTTGAATGGAGTATCTATATACATTATTTTGAATTATTTTGTATGGTAGATTTGTCTTGTCTCAACTTACTAATTTTTATGGCTTTGATCACCAGGTTTCTTATGTACAAGAGACACTCTGTGAGTTTGGTTTAGAGGTTTCACATTAGAATTTTTGAGACATTTCTGTGGCATATGGGAAAGTGGAGCTGAATTTCTTGATCTTAGGTTTATTTTCTCTTATATTTCTTTCTATTATCTTTACACATTCTATTTATTTATTTTACCTTTCCCTTCTACTACACTGTACAATTCTGTGTAGGTTGTCAGTAAATATTCTATTTTCTTCTTTAAAGAGATGAATTTATAGTTTTTAGAAGCTGTAGGCCCTTTAAAATAATTATTTTTCTTATTTGTATGGTTCTCTGTGTTTGGGATTTATGAGGGATATTATTGTACTGTGTTTTTTTGTGGTTGCTTGCTAATCTGTCAGGAAATGATTATGGTGGATTATTGATCTGTAGTAATTTTCTAAATACAATTTCTATGACTGCACACATAGTACCATTGTTTAGACTCTTGTTCTATAGAACTTTTTATTTTTTCAATTGGAAATCTGCTTTGTATAACTTATTTTTTACTTAATACATTATTGTATTTTTTCATTTTAATATATAATATCTGAAAACATGTTTTTGAGGTCTGTAGGATATTCTGTGTCATTATAATATGTCTGTATGTATTTTGCCACATTTTTAGGCTTAAAATGAGATCTTGGGCAAGCCCTTTGTGTCCCCTCCCACTGTGGGAGCTTTTCTGTCCTCTAATAAATCTTGCTTTCTAAAAAAAAAAAAAAAAAAAAAAGGATCTTATTTTAATTTACAGTTGTGATTATGAAATGCAATTTTTGATATATTTATCAGTCACTTATTTTGTTAATATATGTCATTAATGTCAATTACTAATTATGTCAATTAGTATTACATGTGTCAATGACAAGTTTAAATTACTCATATTTATATAGGGATTTCTGAATTTTCTTAAATTTTGGTGAGAATTTTTA